TTGAGCATCGCCCGAGGAAAGATAGAAGAAGTAAAAGAAGTTACGAGGGATGGTCACTGCTCTCAGGCTGTCACCAAAATTCCCTCAAGCCCTTCCACACCAAATCCACCGCTGCAAAGTTCCCTGTGGACAAAGCTGGGAAAGCCACAAAGCTGGAAAGGGGGAGAAAGTGGGAAGAACACGTGGAAACTCTGCTGCTGCCAACTTAGAATCAGCTCTTCTCCTCACTTTCCAAGTTTCCCATTTTCCCCCTCCATGTGCCCTCACTGCAACAGTTTTCCAGAGTTCTCATTCCTTCTTCCAGTGTCTCTTCATCCCCAAAGCTGCCCTGCTCTCTCAGGGCCACTTGACTGCCTGGTAAATGACTAATGTTTTTCATAGACTTTAAGGCATCAGCTGGAGCTGCCAGTTGTATTTCTGCCTTAATGTTAATGGTAGGGAGCTACAGGAGGAATAAAACAAGATCTAGGCCAGGCCATCGACTCAGTTGTCATTTAATTTTATCATAAATGAAAGCTTTCCTGAATCTATACTTATTAATTTTTCTTATCGCTTCTGTCACCATTTCTGCCCTCACATTTTGTGTACGTGGTTTTGGTTAAGGGTGTTTTTAAGAATCTATTTTGACTCCAAACACTGTTAAAAATGTGAACTAAGCCAGATACCTGAACTTTCAAGAGCAGCAAAAATAAATGGTCAAGTTATGTATATATTTTAACAGAAGAAACAAAGAGCTTGAGAGTAGCTTTTCAGGAAACCAAACCTGAGAGTAAAATTATCTTCCCAATTTCATATGCAAAAACAACTAAAAGTGTAGTTTGGAGGTTAAAAGCTATTTTCTCATGGTTCTCCTTTGAATAAGGAGAATTCTAGGGATATACAATAGCAGTTTCCTATTTAACAGAACTGCCTTTGGCAGGCAGCTACAATAAAGCACAGGCTCTGCTGCTCGGTATGACATGTAAATACTCTTATTTTCTGTTGATATGTGCGGCATCATCTGATCTATTGGGTTTTCAGCTCTGTTAAAATAAAAGAAACAATCTTTCCTAAACAGTTATGGTCTCCTTCCTTTCTATATGGAAAACAAGGCTTCATATGCACACAGAGACAAACAAGTAGACAGAAAAATATAATAATTTATATATAGATAATAATATAGACAGAAAGAAGGAAAGGTCTGTGCTCTGTCAGACAAGAATTAGGCAGTCACGAGCAGTTACCATTCAAAAGATGGCATTTCAATCCTCCTTTCCATCACTAATAACTTTATAAATTAATGGGGGCAAATGTATGGAATATCCATAAATATACCTAGTACACCTCAATTTTTTTAATTGTTTGGTAGGAAACTTCCAAATATCCACATTCCCCCCAAAACAACTTCAAAGTTAACAGGAAAATTCTGTGCCAAAATCCCTTGAACTGCTTCCTGAACAAAGCTAGTTAGAAATTTTGTTTCACTTATTTTAATAAGATTATTCACTGTATATTCAGTCACCAGTCATTACACAAAAGAAGAAGGTGAACTGACACTTTCCTTTCTCCCAGTGAATCTCAGAGGCTGTGTCTGTGCTGTGGATCCATCATCCCTGTTCCATGTGGTACAAACATGGTTGGAATTTGCTTGCAGCAACCTTGGGAACTTCACTATCATCTAGTTACATGTTATAGTGCTGTATGCAGGTATTATTCTGCACATAAAACCCAGTTCTGGCTGCAATAAAATAGTCTACTTTTTTTTTTTTTTAATTATTTTATTTTTCTTCAATCTCCCTGTCTGGTTTTATCCAACAGAGGCCTTTTTGTTCCAAAAATTTTACGGGGTCACATTCATGACTTGACTAAGATTTACTAACATACAGACTAACATATGCTTACTTCATTCCCTAAGGTGGCAGCAGCTGTGGAAGGGAGGGAATATTTGGCATTTTCCTGTGACATCTCTGCCTTTGAGACCCCCAGTTAAAGGTTTGCCACCACACTGTGCCACACACTGTGCAAGAGCAGTAAATGAAGACCCAGATCCACTGAGAACAGTCCTGCTGCAGATCACCTAACACAGGATATTTACCTAACACAGGATATTCACCTAACACAGGAATAAGTAGCTTTTAGTCTCCCTGTGCACCCATCAAGTACCAAATGAAATGCCTGTGTTAGTTCCTGATAATAACAGGGTCAGCTGGGACTCTTTCACTGGTGCTGAAGATCACTCAGCTAAATGCTAATTGTGATGTCTTCTTAACAAGAACCCATATTATACCCACCCAATGCCCTAGGACAGCTTTCAGGAAATTAAAAGAAGAAATACTTTCCTAATTAAAAGTGAAATTATGCAAGAAAGAGCTCCACTGAAAAGTTCAAATCTGTAGTTTTGGTGTTTGGAGTCTCTATTTCATTACTGCTCTATGATATCCAAGATCAATGTATTTCTGCTCTGAGTGCAATCAAAGTATTCCCAAAATGCAAATTTTCTCTCAGAGTAAGAGACACTTTACAGTCCTCATCACAGCTCACATGCAAAAATGTATGAAGTCCAATTTTATTTCACTTGGGACAGCTATCCAAAATATGAATGCTGGAAAAAAAAAGGTTTTATGCAGAACAGCTTCCCCTAAACAGCATTAAAGCAGCATTAAAGTTGCTCTGAAGTTAATGGAATGCAAAATCAGCTCACTCAGTAACCTAATCTTGGAATGCATTAAGAAGAACTATATTTAATGATGCCATTGTTCAGTTGGAATAATTTGTGTTTAATTTCTCAGGGAGATTCGAATCTTTTGTCCCAAGCACTGATATTATTTTCTTTTTATACTTTTATCAATGGTTCAATTGCCCCTTAATCAAAAGACAATGCAAGAGGGAATATTTCTCATTCAGCAGAGCATCTTGGCTAATTTTATCACCCCATATGTGATCCCTCTGAACAGAAGTTCATACAAAGCACAATTTACGGCGCAGGCATAACTAGACAGCCAAAAATAGAATATGCAAAACTCAGTCTGAGCGACACAACTCTTACATGCCCTTTGGGTTGGAGCTGATATTCACAATTTGATTAAACAAGCTCTAAGAAGGAGTGCACAGGGATGCATTCAGTATTAGCAGCTGGAGAAATGATTCTGTGGGCTTCAACCTGGAAACAGCTCCCCCAGGTGATTTTTACTGCATTTATTGATGATTTAAAATGGGCTAGGGAACAACACCTTATCTTTTAAAGTTCAGCTTCAGTTTGTCCTAAACAATGAATGAAATGATCTCCTCTGATATTGGAGCTGTGATTCTGAGGGGGGTTGTACCACAAGGCTTTACCTTATGATGGTGTTTCATAGCTAAAAATCACTGTTAATTTTACACAGCTAACTTCAAGCAGTTATCTGATCTGCATCCAGAAAAGATGTGATTTCAGAGGATTTCACCCATTTATCACTTTCACAGATCAGTCTCTGTGCATATTTTAAAAAGTACTGAGATGCTGAAATATTGACCTTTTTTTAATATGCACACATAACTGATTTCAAAAAGAAGCAATGAAGACAAGTCAGAGTTTAAAAAAAATGAACAAAAACCAACAAACAAACAAATTCAAAATTACATTAAGACCATTTTAGAACTACTACTGACCAGAAATTTTTCAGTTAAATGAAATTATTACCACAAGAAAAACGACAGAATATTAAACCTAATAATTCAGAGGCATGACTGGAAAGTCTGATGCCTCCCCACTCAGAAACCTAAATCTGTTCTGGGGTTCAGAGAGGGTGAACTGGGTGAGCTCTGCTTCCCCAGGGGGTCTGAATTCCAAGGGAAAAGGGCTGGCTCCAGACTCAGTCCACTGGAGCTCCGTGTCCCTACAGGCCAGGAGAGGTGTGATCACACTGCTGGCTGCTTCCAGCTGGGAGGTGGCAGCACAGCACCTTCCAGAGCTAATGGAGGGTTTGCTGATTGATTCCCCGTTCACTGGGTGTGTAGGAACTGGCTCCAGCTGCCCCAGGGGCTGGTTCTCCCCACATTTCCCGTTCCAGAGTGCCAAGCTTTAGACATTTATCCTGGCCAAACAATCCTCAGGAGCATTCATTTCAAAAACACCTTTGCTACAAGCACACTTTACGTATCTGTGTGAGGTTTCTCTAAACATTTTTCTTCCCGGTGTGGATTATTATTTTTATTATTATTATTATTATCCAGATATTTACATAGAAAGATTTAAAGGCAGTGTGTGCTCAAGCACACAGCACTATTTGTTTTCTGTGACTGTATTTTTAAAGACTGCTTTTAAAACAAACATGAAGTGTATTCAAGACTATATTATGTAGCTCAGCATGGAACTATAAAAAGGACAATCCATATATTCATAAATTAAAAAAAATACCTACTTGTTCAGCAACATTAAAATTCAGCTTGACCTTTCAAAGAACAAATCTATTGGAATTGCAAAATTTTTCAGTCTCTTAATTAGCTCTGTGCAGAAGAACCTAATGCCACAAGCAAAATGGATATTTCCATTCTGGCCTCCTTTACAGACTGAATTAAATACTTCTGGATGTAACTCACTTGAAACCAGAAGGAATAAAGTTCTTTAACCTCACTGATTTAACCAATCCAGTTTATCATATTTGAGAATCAATTGAAAGTTCTCAGACACACAGAAATCATTTTACATATATCAAGTCTCAGTAAGAAGCAGCTGTGTTAACAAATTTATCTGCACCAAAACTGGGAGATTTTTAAATGTTGCACGGCCTTGTAAATCCCTACCCATAAAAAACCCCAGGCCATAAAACACACAGTTTTTGCAGCACCAGTATTCAACACTTCATAATCAACAACAGGATGTTCAGGAACTGTCACGGCTTAAAAAAACCCCACACCTCCTTCTGCAGCGTTTTATTTTATTGACTTAAAAAAAAAAAAAAAAAAAAAAAAAAAAAAAAAAAAAAAAAAAAAAAAAA